GGGCATTTGTTTTAGAGTAAAACCGTTTTCAGTACATACTTTAGGAAACTATAATCCTATGAACTTAATCAGGAGAAAAGAATGAACCAAAATTGTAAATAATAACAGTAACCTTTTTTTTTTTTTTTTTTTTTTTTTAAAGGAGCCACAACTGAGGAAAAGATAATGAATGCAAAGTTTACTCTAACACAAAACAACTCAATGCTACTAATATACTAATTGACTTATGTCTAATTATCAAGGTCATCTTATGATAATGTGATGTATTTATTTATGTGGCAAGACAGAAAAAAAAATGGGATTGAGTACAGTGTTATTTCATTTGAATTTGGCTTTTTAGATTACACATTTTCTCTTATCATTTTCAAAGCACTCCTCAAAAATCTGGAAAGAAAATCTTTTTTAGTGTGCTTGCTTACAATTAATAAAATAATATTATTAAACTGCATTGGGAGTCCGCGTGTGATACTGTAAAATAAACACTGGACTGCTAACTGCAAGGTTGTTGGTTCAAATCCACCATTGGCTCCTCAGAAACCCTATACAGGGTCGCTATGAGTTGGAACCCACTCAGTGATACTTAACAACAACAACAACAACAATAAACTGCATCAAAATATACTTTCTTTAAAAGGAGAGAGTCTATACTAGAGAAATCATCAGCTTTAAAACTGTAATGCTCTAGATTCTTTGCTTCCAAGAAACCTGTGTGTATTTATGACTGTTGTAAGAGTCTGCGCTCTAGTGCCATTGTCAGCCATTGGCCAGTGTTGAACAAGAGTGTATATGTCTAACCTGAGGACAGTAGGGGCTATAGAAGGCCATGTGTGTTATTGTACATGTTCTATGTAGATCCGATTCAGGCTCAGTTGGGTTCAGGGCTGCCGGTAAGTCTGGGTTCAGATACACTTGTTAGAGTATACATTAGAATGAGATTGAGGTAAATTTGGGTCTTTATCTGGACTTGGTCTCTTTTAGCATTCAGAGGCTATATGAATGGTTGTTTTGAGATGGGATGGGTGTGTTTGTTGGAGACGTTGAATATAGGAGAAAATAATAAAATACTAAATATTTGGTTGTTTACACCATCATCAACCTCAAACGTGCAGGTTGCTTGACCCTAGATTGACTCATCCCAATGGTCCATGCAGAAACTTTAGAACATACTTCATGTTCTTTTACCTCCATTTTTTTCCATTGTTTCTTTCAAACTCATAAACCCTTCCTTGGAAACCCTATACAGGGTCACTATGAGTCTGAACTGACTCGATGGCACTTAACAACAACAAGGTGGTGGCTGTTCTTGTTTCTGAAACTTTATTTCTTTTATTATTCTTTTGAACTCTTTTTGTTTTAGCCATTCCTTGCTTCCAAGCACCTTTTGCTGGTTCCTATTGAAATCAATTTCTATTGAAATCAATCTTAAAACTCTTTTTTTCTTTTCTGTAGTTGGACTTTTTCTTTCTTTGTTTGTTTTCTTGGATCCTAATTCCTATCAGCTAATATGTATTTTGGAGTCTGGTGTGGCACTGTAGGACAAGCAATGGACTGCTAAACACAAGGTTGGCAGTTCAAACCCACCAATCACCCCTCAGAAGCCCTATACAGGGGTGCTATGAATCAGCACTGACTTGCCAGCACTTAACAGCAATATGTATTTCATTTGTGTACCTCTTAGATAAAGGTTGTCAATATATGTCTTATTATCTATCTAGAAATCGCTATATAGATTATTTTTTATATCCATGGTTGTCTATATCCTTGCCAAAGATATCTGTTTGAGTCATACATCTAGAATATAATTTTCCTACCTGTCTACAAGTCATACTACCAGAGAGACAGATTAATGAAATGATTGATTTATTGGGAGAACATAAGACACAGAAATTGGCAGGAAACATAGCATGATACATAGCTCTGATTCAGCCTCAAAGTGACAAAAAGTTCACAAAAATGGAACTTTATAGATAAGCACTGTACCTCAAGGTTGGTTTGAACCATGGGATCAGTAGTTGAAACTCACCAGCTGCTCTTCAGAAACCCACCCTACACAGGGTCTCTATGAGTTGGAACTGGCTGGATGGCAGTAAACAACAAAAACCTTGGACTGAAAGAGCCCTGGTGTTGTAGTGGGTTAAACATTGGGCTGCTAACCACAAGGTCGCAGTTCAAACTCACCAGCCGCTCTGTGGGAGAAAGATGAGGCAGTCTGCTCCTATAAAGATTTACAGCCTTAGCCACCTAAAGGGTCACTGCGAGTCAGAATCCACTTGATGGTAGTGAGTTTGTACCTTGGATGGGAACTGCTTCTTCCCTGGTTATGTTCACCGTTCCGCTGCTTATACTGTTAGTATGTTCTGAGATCATTGTAAAGTCTTTTGTGAGTGATGTTAGACCGCATGTTTTCTTGTAGCTCTCAATTTACATTTTTCTTTATTAAAACTGCTAGGAACCACAGGAAATGTGTTATCATTCAGTGAAACAAGAGCACATCAGGTGGTTCAGCAGAAATCAGAGCAATTCATGATTTATAACCAAAAGCAGCTCACGAGGATTTACCCCTCTGCCTACCGGATTGATTCCAGTAATTTCAACCCTCTGCCCTACTGGAACGCAGGTTGTCAGCTAGGTATGTATGCTTTGAGAAGGAACAGTCTCTGTATTCCTTTGTACTGCCACCTTGTCTAATTCTCGCGAATGTTCAACTTATACAGTGGCGCTGAACTACCAGTCTGAAGGTCGGATGATGCAGTTAAATCGAGCCAAATTCAAGACAAATGGCAATTGTGGCTATGTGCTCAAACCCCAACAAATGAGCAAGGGTAGGTATTCATTTCACCATCCTGTCTCTGAATGCAGGTGATCACTATTAAAGGAGTTCTCTGCAAATTATGATACCCCAGTGTTTTGCAACATGATTTTTATAAAAAGGATTGGTTAAATTATTGGAATGTAAATAAGAACTCCTGTTTTAGCTATTTAATTTTTGGGTAACATTATGTTTATCACATTTTCTTGTGAAGTTTTTGTGCATGTCAGGAGGGGCATGGAGAGTGATGGATTGCCATCTGAAATCCAGTGTCCCTGAATGGCCTTCCTGGGCCATGACTTATAAATTGGACTGCCTTCTATGGTCTGAGCCTTGTCTTTCAAAACTTTAGTTGTGCTTGTGAGTGTGACAACTAATGGCAAAAAATCAAAATACCTCTTGGAACAATTTTATGAAGCCCTTTTAGTCCGGGTAATCCAATTATAGAACAGTGCTGACAAAAAAAGAAAGCATAATGTAGTGTTAGATTAAAAACCACTTCCTTTTGATTCTATTCATTAAGATTCTTTTTAAGTTATCCAAATTGAATTTGTAGACAATTTAGGTAAAAAAGAAAAAAAATGGGTTGACAGTTATGTCTTCTCGATTTTATGCTTTGCATGTTTTCTTGCTCTGCTATTTACATTTAAGGTCTTCTTTCTGTTTGACATTCACTCAATGCCTGAGATGGCACAGGTTAGAAACTTACTTGAGTCTGACATAATTCCTCCCCTACCTTTCAGTGTTGACATTCAAATGAAATGTTCCTCTTCCCACATGCAATGGTTGATAATTGCATTGCAGACGCTTGCTTTCAGTTGACCTATTTGTCTGGCCTTGGAGGGCATAGACTCTAACAAAATCTACAGCTATGGAAATACCAGCTGGTGCTGCCTTCAGGGCAAACTCACATTGATAGTTGTGACAGTTTCTCTGCTCTTAAAAACACTGTAGTAATTCACCGTTTGTTGTTTCTTCGATTAGAAGCTTAAACTGTGTGTGTGTGTGTGTGTGTTTTGCCCCACACTACCAGCCTTCAATTTTTGCTTCTATCTTACTTGGCTTAGGTACTTTCAACCCTTTCTCTGGTGATCCACTTCCTGCCAACCCCAAAAAGCAACTCATCCTGAAAGTAATCAGTGGCCAGCAACTCCCCAAACCTCCAGATTCCATGTTTGGAGACAGAGGCGAGGTAAGCCACGTGTGACTGAGCTGTAAATTATGCGGTAATTTTGTTGTGGTTATATCTTATGATTCTTCAGGGGTCTCTCTCTCTCTCGCTCTCTGTGTAAGCCTTTAGAAAAAGTTCATAAATAAGCATTGACCTCATTTTATAAGATATTAACTAAGTTATTGGCAAATGTGACAGTTTCTTCTGGAATGCATTGTCTAGTTTGGAGGTTTCAGTTCAATTCACAGTTTGAGACTGACCTGTCAATGATAAAACTGGGTTGCAAATACCAATTTTATTATTGATAGAAACATTGCCTAAGTCTATGTCTTATCCTTCTATTCATGCTCGTTGACTTGCTCATCTCCCGAGTCCTTCTGTAGCACATTAGGTATTTACTCTCCCATCACCTGCTCATAATTGCCATCACCTGCCACAACACAGTGGTATGATTTTAAAATGCCTCCCTATGTGATCACAACCTCTTTTCTTTCTAGAACTCTCATTTTGGTACTCCCATTACCTGGCTTTGACCTTCTTGGTCTCTGCTTTCTCCCTGTGTGTAAGGACGTGTATTCATGTCAGTCCTCTCGAGCTGGTCCATCCTGTCATCCTTGCTCTGCCACACCCACTTTTTTAAGCTAGCATTTCTAGATCTTGATACTTTTGGTATCTGAGACTTATGGAACCCTCCTCAGAATAATGTTTTTAAATGCATAGACTAATTTTATTGAAATTTAATTATCAAAATATACAAGAAACACATTATATGAGTATTTGTGTCCTTATTAATGCATTTAATAGCAGGGTCTAGCTGTGGATCTAAGAATTCCTAGAATTTTGAAGTAGTGATGACAGTTTTGTTGTTAAGTGCCATCGAGTTGTTTCTGACTCATAATAACCCTGTTTAGGGTTTCCAAGGAGCAGCTGGTAAATTTGAATTGCTGACCTTACAGTTCAAACTGACCTTTCGGTCTACTGCCTATCCTGCAGTGCCACACCAGGACTATAGGTGATATATTGAGGTGTTTACAGGAGTCCTTGTGTGGTGCTGCAGGTTAATGCACTGTACTGCAAGGTTCGTTTGAACCGCAAGATCGGTGGTTCAGTCTCACCAGCTATTCCTCATAAACCTTACACAGCATCCTTTTGAGTCGGAATTGACTTGACAGCACTTAACAACAACAACATAATGAAAACACACATGATTTCTTTTGGACACAGCATTATAGACACTACTAATAGTACTGTGGTATGTTTTAGTCAGAAGTTAGGGGGGGGGAAGAAGACACACACCCATTTTATACTTTGGACATGTTAGAATCCAAAGACCAGGTTGGTATGTGAAAATCAGTGTTATGCAAAAATGAAGGATGACTAATCATTACATAATTTCCAAATCACTGAGAATCATGGTCCAATCAAGTTGACACGTAACTTTAACCATTATAGCCACATTACTCTCACCTCACACCTTGGCATTTGTTACTGCCAGATGCATGTCATTAATGCATAAAATAAAATAATCAGACAATAGAATTTTTACTATTGTTATAAATGTGAAATGCCAGATAACAAAACAGTCATTAAGTGTGGTGAACCTTGTTTGTTCCCCAATTAGGCTTACACTCCACCTCACTTTTCAACCCATGCTTCCTCACATTGCTCATGTCTCTAAGGATGACATAACTTTTTTTTAACTCCCAACCAGAAAATTGATTGTCAGCCTTAGTTTTCCCTTTCTTTGCTTCCAATATCTAATTAATTGCTATCTGCTGGTACTTCTACCTCCCAAATCTTTGTCCATTCTTGCTGCCACTGTCCAATTTAATTCCTCTTCTTCTTCCTTGGATTACAATATGACGAGGCAGACACTGGCGTCTTAGTTTTGCAGAAATATTGGCTTGGCTATAGATATATGAAGCCAAACCACAGAGAGTTAGTTACACATTATGTCCAAGGTCAGCACAGGAGCTGAGTTTTTAAAATTGAACTCTCTCATCAAGCCTGTAGTCTTCTTGAACCTCATAATGACAATCAGTATTTAATACTGCCCCTAAATATTTGAGACCCCAATGGTCCAGTTTTACAAAAGGGTTCTATTCAAAAAGGAAAATTTCCTGGTGTAATATAGTTCATTGAAAATGAATAGATTTAACTTTGGTTTATTTAGTAAATAACAAATAGTATGTGTAAAATTCTGTTATCTAACTAATGGTGTTAATGTGTTTGTCTGTCATTCCTCTATCTTTTATCCCTGAAGCTATTAACCACATACCTGCCTTCCCCAATTTTGTGTTCTCTTCACTCTCCAAGTTTCTAAGCATTTCTGTTTCCTCTGCCTTTAGATTTTATTGGATCAGCTCTTACTGGAATTTTTAGTTTCTTTTACTTCATTTGTCCTTACCCAGAATTTGTACCACACAAGAGAGTTTCAGATGACCAACATGACAGATTTCCTACCCTTGCAGGAAAAGAGATAGAAGGGAAGAAAAATCATTCATGTGTTTTTTTGTTTTAATTTACTTTTTAACCAAAGTATAGCTTACGTTTTCATATACAAACAATTCAATAGTATTGAAATATAAAAATCAAAGGTACCTTGCTTTGTTAATGATTGTTGTTGTTACGTGCTGTCATGTTGATTCTGACTCATAGCGACCCTGCCATCAAATCATGACAAAATATCTCAAGCACGCCAGAAGGGTCCCTTGTTCACCTTCCCAGTATACATCCTTCCTATTAAACTCTATTATGGCAGATTAATTTTGTTTGATCTCAATCTTTATATAAATGGACTGTTACTATATGTGGTTTTTAATTTTTTAACCTATATTTTATTTCTACCACTTGTCTGTCAGTTTGTTGTACTTTGGTGGCTTGTATGTTGTTGTGATGCTGGAAGATATGCCACTCATATTTTAAATACCAGCAGGGTACACCCATGTACATAGACCAAGAGGAATCCTGGTGTGGTGCTGTGCGCTAATGCAGAGGACTGAAAAGTTGGTTTGAACTGCAAAGCCTGAAGTTCGAGATCATCAGCTACTCCTCAGAAACCCTTTACAGGGTCACTGTGGGTTGGAACCAACTTGACGGTACTTAACAACAACATCAGCGTCGATCCCAGACTTAAGTCAGACTAAGAAGGAGAGGCAAATGACTTCTGAGTGTTTAGCCACTGAAAATCTTATGAATAGCAGTGTAACACTGTCAGATAGCACTGGAATATTGAATATTGAAGCATGATGAATAGCACCAGAATATTGTCAGATATAGTACCAGAAGACAAGCTCTTAAGGTTAGAAAGCATTCCAAATATAACTGGGAAGAACTGCCTCCTCAAAGTTGAGTTGAGCTTGATGATGCAACTGGAGTAAAGGTTTTGGGACTTTGATTTGCTGATGGGAAACAACTACAAATGAAGAAAAAAAGATGTAAACATTCATTAATAATCAGAATATTCATACTGTTACAAGGAAAACCAATTAATACAACTATTATTTAAATTTACACTCCGATCACTAAAGCCAGTGATGAAGAAAGGAGAATTTCTACCAACTTCTTCAGCCTGAAATCAATCAAACATGTAATCAAGATTTATTGATAAATTATTGGTGATTGGAATGCATGGAAACCATGAGGAAGAACCAGTAATTGGGAAGTATTGGCTTGGCTATATATATGATGGAGACTGCATGATAGAATTTTGTAACACTAATAACTTCTTCATTGCAAATACCTTTTTAAAAATAACATAAGGATGGTGGCTAGGGTGGAGGTGCAGTGAAGTTTGCCGTCAGCCATACCTCAGAATACTAGATAAAGCAGATCCAAGACAGAGCTCCAAAACTCAGAACCACATAACTAGGAATATTTTTAAAAGTTTGAAGGCTTATAGCTAGTGGAACTTGAAGTTGAAGGAGGAAATCACATACTTTTGAATCTGCTGGGCTCAGAGGCCCGGAGCCAACATCTTAGGTGAGACCAAATGGCAAGACCAAGCAGGGGAGCAGACACACCATGGAAAAACACTGTGAGAACCTTGGAGCAAAGAAAAATACAAAAAATACACTTTGTCAGTTTTGCTTTGTTCTAAATTTCTTTCTTTCTTTTTTTGGTATCTGGTCATTGGCCCCCGCAGCTGTTTGTGCACCTCCGTTCTGGTGACTAGAGGGGGTGCCTAAGAGAGTGGACAACCCCCAACCTCAACACTGGTGGGTTCTTCTGCCACGTATGCACACAGATACTCAGCTCAAGAGCAGGCCCTGAACGTTGTTGTTGATTTTTTGTTAAATATGGAAAAGGCCAGGATAGGGCTGTACAGAAGGAAAGAGAGTTTAAAAACAAAACAGGCTGAAAATTAAATTAAAGCCTGAGATATAGCATAACAACCAACAGTGGCATCTTGATATCTCTCAGGCAGCTTTGAAAGCAAGTAGCTGAAGAGAGGACATTAAAGTCATACTCATATTAGGCTACAGATTTCTTTCTTTCTTTTTTGCTGGTGCTATTTTGCTGTTTCATGCTCTCCCTTCTTGGGAGACTCTTTGTCTCCCTATATTACCCAAGAAGAGACAGCAACTGCTACCATATAGTCAAGCTACAGTCACATTCTATAAAACACCAAAACCCAGGCAAGAACCAATACAAACTGCCATATACCTGGGAGGCAGAAAACACCTGTGAAAGTTACTCTGAGTTAAGCAATAAGAAGAGTGAAAAGGGAAGCCTGCATCCTGATCACATGTACGTGGAAGCAATCAGAAAGCATAAAAAATACCAAACCACATACTCAGTTAAGTTTTAAGGCCACAGATTAACACTAAACATGTCCAAGAAGCAAAAGCAGATGACCATATCAGCATATTTCCAGAAACAAGATAAAATATCTGAGACAAATGACCTAGAGGTAGACCTGGATTCCATTCTGGAAGAGGGCAAGCCTTGGAAATGCCTGAGAAGGAATTCAGAAAAATTATTATAAACTGTTTCAAAACACTTTACAATGGAGTTGAGAA